TGTTGCTGCTGTTGTTGTTATCGTTGTTGTTGCTGCTGTTGTTGTTATCGTTGTTGTTGTTATCGTTGTTGTTGCTGCTGCTGTTGTTGTTGTTGCTGTTGTTGTTGTTGTTGTTGTTGTTGCTATTGTTGTTGCTGCTGTTGTGGTTATCGTTGTTGTTTCTGCTGCTGTTGTTGTTGCTGTTGTTGGTGTTTTTGCTGTTATTGTTGTTGTTGTTGTTGTTCTTGTTGTTGCTGTTGTTGTTGTAATTGTAGAATTTCGCCCACTTGCCCAGTGTCATGTCGTAGTATTTTATTAGATGTAGATTAGTTCTCTATGGGAATAGTTCGTGTCATCCAAAAGTATTTACGTGGTGGTTGTCGGGTGATCTGGTGTGGGCTGCTCCTCCTTTACTACCAAACATATCGTCCTGATCTCACCTCCTTCTTTTATATATGTATACATTAATATCTATCAACACCTCTAATCTTCCCGTGTGCAAGTTTCGCACGTTAAAGATCCCTTGGTGGTCCAAGATCGATAAGAGTAGGCTTCAGCTGCCACCCAGGCAAAATTCAAAATTTCCTACCAATTGAAAATGTTTGGTGTGTCCCGCGCGCTCATAAGACCTTATGCAGTTGCGAGCGCCGTAAAACACTTACAAAAAACAACAACAAAAATACGTCTAATCTTCGGCTCTTCTATGACCTGATTGTGTTGCAAGCGCCGTAAAACTCTTACTAAGCAAAAATGCACAGTATCTATACTCCCCATGTCTCTCTCTGTTCCTTAGTTGTATGTGGAAGATTTCTCATAATCTGGCCCTGTAGTGATAGTCGGGGGTAGATGTTGATTCTTTCTATATTGCGATGTTGTCAATATAGTATTGACAGGTGTGTGACAGGCGTCCATTAGTTTTATATGATTGGCTGGTTGGGCGGTGATCCTTCTGCTCTATCAGACAACTACGGACCTTTTCTCTCCTCCTTATATTTTGTGTGTTTTTATTCTCTTGTAACATCTCTAATCTTCTGCACTTATATGACCGTGGAGTGTTGCAAGTGCCGTAAAACTCTTACTTAAAAAATTACGTTTTCAAGAGGACATTGCCTTTGTCAAGTCGCCAAACGGTCACTTAATATCACTGCATTTACAGAAACATTCCTGTATGCAGCTGGAACTTGTTCAAACATTACCTCCATTGTAACATTTTTCCTTCTATCTCTTCCCCTCCCAGATTCAATGCCAAATCCTGTGTCTGTGACGTCATCAGACAGATAGACAACTCGGCCGCACTACGCAGCAGCGCCCAACGAAAAACGGAAACGACGTAAAAGTAACAGAACGTTCGTTTGGAATATTCAAGTATCCAAGTATAGCACCGGACATACTGAGTGTGTTCCAGAAGATTCTAAGACTGCTATTTCAGACTAAGAACACCAAGTTCTGGGGAAAGTAGGCGTGACGTCAGACTGTTCTTCGGAGAAGGCTCAGATTTTTTTTTCTTCTCCAAAACAGAAGAGTTTTTTGTTCTTGGTACTTGTGACTCCTGGCTGAAGGTTCTGCAACATGGGGTCGAAAGACAATACTGAAGGTAAGAAGATGTCTCCTCGTCAAATTATTATAATGGGTGATGGTCTTCAGTAGCCTGTTGGGTGAGGTGTCGTTTATGGCGAAGGTCGGTAAGTTTGTATACGTGCGGGGGCGGGAGGGGGGAGAGAGAGAGAGAGAGAGAGAGA